TACAGTGATGGAGGGATTGGGGCTGGGGCTGAGACAAGCTGCCCAGCCGGGTGGTGAAGCGCGTGACTCGGGGAGGGGGACTCCTGCCACTGCATGGTGGCGGTCCGGGAGCTGCTCTTCCAGGGCAGACTGGGCTGGCCTGCGCTCTGGACAGGCAGCAGAAGGCACTGGGAATAGGAGCTATGCCCTCCTGCTGCTAGCCCAACTGGGGCGGGAAGGCACGGGACGGTGCCGCTGTGCTGCCTCAGACAAGCAGTGTGCAGCAGCAGAAGCCACTTGAGCCTCCCGGACACACCGCAGCTTTGTCCCACCCTGACCCAGCTGAGCAAGCAGTGGCAGGGCATGGGGATAGGCGCGTGCACCCGGATCGGGGCAGGGCCAGCGGCAGAGGCTATGGGGAATTTTAGGGTGGCTGCAGGCCCCCCCATAGTCCCCGCTCCACTGTGCTCTGTGGGGTGGGTGCTGTGGCCAGGGCTAGCTGCCTGGAGCACAGCCCTGGTGCCACCTGCCTCACAGAGCGCAGTCTGGCGGCGGGCAGCTGGGGCTAGCCTCCCGGAGCACAGTCCGGCCCAGCCTGCCCTGTACAGATCTGGGGGCACATGCCTACTTCCATGCCCTCCCAGACAGGCAGCAAGAGCCGCCAGAGGAGCCACCGGAAGAGCAGCTCCCGGACCGGCAGCATGTGGCAGCGCACAGTGGCGGGAACCCCCCTCCCTGAGCCCCGCGACTTCCCTGCCCCAGCTGGGCAGCTTGTCCCAGCCCCAATCCCTCCCTCACTTTGGGGGCATTGATCTGCTCACTCCCCACACCCCTTCCCTCCACCCACCACAACAGACTTACCAGCTGGAGGCAGCCGTGTCCAGCATCATTGAGGACTGCTGCCTGTATAGTCTATGGCCAAACCTCCAGATCTGGATCGGCTGAATCAAATTGGGACAGTGATTCTAATCACTGAATCAAATCACTGTCCCTCTGAATCGGCTGAATCCAAATCTGAAGCAAATACTTGCTGCATCGCACAGGCCTAGTAATATCAAGATACACCAGCCAGTTTTAAGTGAGCTGGCCAGTGTACCAGTAGTAGCACAGACCTATTAAGGAAAAATCAGCTCTTGTTGAGTTTCATCCAACTATAGTTAAATTGGTACCAGTATTGGAGCTAGTTAGTTGAAAGCTAGCTCAGGTGCATCTGTACTCCCCTGCTGTCTGCATTGCAGACATGCCCCTAGTCTTTTCTATGCAGTGCTAGACAGCACAGTGCTAAACATGCTGACACTTGGTCTATATTAGCACTTCCAGGAGGTGAGCTGAATTGATGCTAGACCAGAAGTGTAAGAACTGCTAAAAATTCTTAGTGAAAGCACAGCCTAAGAGACTTGAGAATCTTTAAGGTGATGATTTTATCAGGCGAATTTTGAATGATACTAAGGAAAGGGCGGGGGGTGGAGTGTAAAGAAGAAAGCCAAGGAATAGAAGGTTCCAGCTTTTCTTAACTATTGGTATTTTGGAAGCTGCTAAAGCCCAGCTAATACTGGGGCCCCATTGTGCTAGCCCTCTGCATATGCCTAACAGGAGAGAGTTCCTGTCCTGAAGGGTACATAATCTAACTAGATAAAAAGTGGGATGGAATCAGAGGCACAGGCTGAGGAAGTGATTTACCCAGCATCATGCATCAGGCCAGTGGCAGAAACAGAAGGCCCCAAGTCTTTTTATGCATCACTTCAGTGCTCTCTCTAGATGACCAAGCCTGTTTTCCATTTGTCAAGACAACATATGCAAATGAAAACAGATAACACATATGACAAGGCAATTCCTTCTGTCAGTCTCTTCCTTTTTTTTTCCTCTTCAATACATCCTTCCCTCCATGCCTTTTATTTTTCCTTCATACAATAGATAGTGCATTATATAGAGATAGGGACCTTTCATTCCACCTGCCAGTTCATACACAGATGCGTAAAGGATGTTTAAAAAAAAAAAGTTTTAATATTTGATGTCATGAAAATTAGAGCTGGAGAAGATCCATGAAGCCATCCAGTCCATCACAGTACCAATGCATGATTGTTTCCTAAAGACTTTTTTTTTATTTGGTTTTGTTTTGTTTAGGCTAACTTTAGGTATATCAAATAGCTTCCCCATCTACCCTTGGGAGACTGCTCCATAGACCTGTACATCTTCTGTTACAAAGGGTTTTTTTATACTAAGCCTATTTTTTTTCTTAGCATTAACACATTGATTCTTTCATTTCATTACTTTTTTAGTATCATCCTAACTAATTATAGGAACAAAAGGAATTCCTATTTGGACCAGTAGCCCCTCGGCTTGGCATCTTCTCTGCAGTGATGGCCAGTGCCTTTTGTTATGAGGAAAAGTGCAAGAATACCCAGAATAGGCAAAGATGGAATGGCCTACCCATGGGAAAAGTTGATTTCTAAACCTTATCAGTTTTCTTATCTTGAGGCATAAGTTTTATGTTCCTATAATTTGCATCCTACCTAATGTAACTGTAGTTTCCATTTTCTATCTCAGTGTCTAATCCTTTTTGGAAGCTCACCAAGCTCTTGATCTCGGTGCTGATTATACCCTGCAGATATGTGTGGCTTATTATTCTTTTGCTCTTTATCAATTGTGTAGCCAAGCTGTACCTGAAACTTTTAATTTTTGTTTTGTTTTGTTTTGTTTTACAAATTAATCACTCCAGTTATTTATGTGAGAGGCAAGGATTTAATGGCAATACTTTTATTGAACCAACTGTAGTTGAGAGAGATGTTAGACAAGTTTTTGGCACAAAGTGTTCTTCCTCAGATCTGGGCCTGGACCTGGACCATCCCAGCTACAGTAACGCTCCAGCACTGTTCTAGCCATTTAATCACTTGGTCTTATATGAAAGAAAGGTGTTAACGGCAAGACAATTTGGAGGAGGGAGAGACATGAAGATAGAAAAGAAATCAAGACAGTAAAATATTTTATAGTGATATTACACATGCATTTGATATATAACACTCTTATCAAATGTTGAATGAAATAATTATTTTTATGATTACAAACAACTTATTAGATTTATATAACACTCTATCCTTATGTGATCTGTGAAATGACTGGGAGACCTGAAACAATGCCATTGTTGCATTGCCTCTATCCATCTCTGTGTTGTAGCTACTGGTTGTTGCTCACCTTTAAAATGAGAAGCGTAAGTTTTGCTGGGCAAGAGCTTTTTTGCATGGTGTCTAGCAAAGCAGGACCCCAGGGCTTAGAAAATACAAATAATAATAATTACTGTCTGTGGATTAATAGTGCTATATGTAAATGTCTTCTCTTTTGGGTTCTTTCTAACTTCGTGTGATAGCACCTGCAACAATTTTTTTGAAAAACACAGTGCTCATATACTAGCTTGTGTTTACTTGTGTGGTTAATTTGTTTGAGGCACTTTAAAGAAGATTCCCCATTATTCTAGTTCATGGAAGTGGATAGAAATTGGGAGGGGGAAATTGCTCTGTAGAGCAAACTGAAAAATACAGCCCCTCTTTTTGTTGCCACCATTGATTGCAGGTGCAACTGACAGAATTTATTCTTTAAAATTATCTGATATCACCAAAGAAAACGGGGGAAAAATTATTGGAACTGGAACTTTCCCAGGACAATCAATATGAAGGAATGTGTGAGCAAAGAGTAGATCAAATGAGCTTATTAAATATATTAATACAGCTGAAGTAATAGGCAATTTAAGAATCAATAGGACAGGTTTGTATTGAGTCATTTTCACACTGAAAGTTATTTTAAAAGCAGTTAATGATAATATTTCTATACATGCATTATAAGCAATACCAGGTAATTCTTCCTTCAGCATCTGTTTAAGCAGAAGTTGCAGTCCATGAGAGATTTTTGGTGTTTAAATATGTTTTTATTTTTATAAAACTGTTATATGAGTCACTTTGCTGTTTTGCTGTAGTGAATCCAGATCGTCATATAAAAATGGACTACAGCAGCTATTACAGTGAGGCTGACATCCAGGCTTCAACAGGTCAGTTGGAAATATGAAGCAATAGAAGCTCGCTCTCTGTGCTGATACAGGATCTGGAACTTTATTGTATGATGAATTGTGGCTGTATATGTCTCAGTGCACCAGGGTGTTGTACTGGATTATAAAGCAGATAAAAAAAAGAAATACTGATAGCATTAAATGAGATTAATTATCTGACAAATACATATTTGACTGATTTTTTTTTTTCAGTGGACCTTTCTCTTCTTTTGTCTTTCTGACACAAATTCAGCAGGGCTGTAATTTTTTTAAGTTTTACCTTTCAGGTGTTCTTGAAAAAAGTGCATGTGCTTCGGAGGTGGAGAAGGACATGAGGAGTCAACGGACCTGGGATCCCACTGATCAGAATGAAACAGATGTTGAAAGATTTTTCAAATCTATTGTTAGTTATGCTCTGGGATTATGGTGAGTATTTTGACCATAAAGAGAATGCTATAGATATTAAGTGGAATCAGAAGAGCACAGAAATCTGGGATTGGTGAAAACTGTTGCTGGGAATGATGACTTGCATTTTTATCAGAGTAGAAGGTGCCCCACAACTGACACAGAATTGAATATGAAATGGAATAAACTGGGCAGGTTTCTTTGGGCATCTCAGGCTAGAACTGGCTGGGTTACCAATAACTAACTGAACTCTATTCTGTCCTAACGTTTGCACATTTCAGTAATGTATGAATAAGGATACAATTTTTTAACTGCCTAAGCCCTTGTCTACATGTGGTGGTTTATAGGCAGTAGATTAGTGTGAATTTACAGCACACTAACTACATAGGTGGGCATTTTTATTGTGCACTCACTGAGAGAGAGCTTACTGCACTTTGTAAGCAAGGTCCACTTTGCAAACTGCCTCACAGAAGGACATTTCTAGTGCACGCTAAGGAAGTCCACACAGGGAATCAACATCAAGTAGCTTGTGTTGTTTGAAGTCATACTGTAGTTTACTGCATATTAATTCCCCATCTGCACAAGCCCAAAGGTGAAGGCAACTTACTCCACTTTTGAAAAGGGAGTAAGCTACCTTGCACTTTGACTCAAATCCCATTTTCCAAAACTGATTTAAGCATCTTGGAACTTAAATACCATTGACTTTGGGAGACTTAAGCTCTTAAGTGCCCAAAATTACTTTATGAAAACAGAATTCAAGCTCCTAAATCATTTAGATGCTTTTTAAAAACTTTATCTCTAACATATAAATTGAGTGATGCAGTAAATTTTGAAGGCTGTGCAAGAGGACTAAGCTAGATGTTGTTGAACTATTGTGCATGGTCCTGCAAAATCTGAAGTCTCATATTTACCTGTGTCTGTGGACGGGATATAGAAGTTCATTCCTTTGGGATATGAAAACTTCATATGAAGGAGAGACCTAGCCCTAGTAATGTAAGGGATTTGCTCTTGTAATATGCATGTAAAAATTTGATTACAGATTTTTAGACTGGACATGCCCAACTACTTCCACTGATATCTTTTTTCTCTTTTGATCACTATCGAAAGATCTGGAGAAGGGATGTAAAAATGTAGAACTATAACATTTTGCAGTGATGTTTAGGTGCAGTGGAGAAAGAGGTGTATTTGTTAGTGATGTTATGCAACTTTAAACTTCTACTGTCACATTAATCAGCCAAATATAAATAGAAAAATTAACAAAGGGTCAAGTGAAGGTTACAGTGAAGATACATGTTTAACTCAAATTTGGGCAGAGATAAATTATTACATTGGCACTTCTTAAGAGGACAGTTTTGCATACAGACATTACTATTTAAACTCAAAAAGGTAGAAGCTCCCAATGATTCCTCTAGTTTATGGCTAGGAATGTTAAATCGCATCTGAATATTTTTAGCACCTAAGCTTCTGTATTGACAATATTTCCAGTATCAAGAATACTTCCTGTTCCAGAAAATAGTTTCCAAGCAATTTTGTATATATATAACTTTGGTTTATGGTCATTCATATAGAATAATACCCCAGTATAAATAAGTATTTTCACCGTTAAAGAGTTAAAGGCTCTGCCTTTTGATTTGCAAGAATGAATTCTTCGAGTGACCACACTGGTAGGTTGCAGCCAGATCCATTCAGTAGCAGACTATTGTAATGACAAAAAAAAGATATCTACAGATGGATTGAAATGAGCCCAAGGCAGGCTGTCCAAACAATGGGGACCAGATTCCAGCTGGTGATACCCTAACATGCATGGCAGTAAGCGTACACAGGGGAAGCTGGCTGCTCCTATTCTGTGCCCGCCAGTGTGTCATGAAGTGGCAACTCTTTGGGTAGTCTATAACTAGAATGTTTCTACACTAAAACAAATAGAAGGGAAGGCCAGTCTTACTGGGCTAGTCTCAGCAAAAGCATGCCAGCATAAAGATGGCTTCTTCCTCGTTGCCTGTTTTCCACACCTTATCATACCCTAAAGTCAATGGCAGCTTCATGGCTAAAACCCACACCATGCTTTTATTTTCTAGGCTGTCTAATATTTTTTTAAATTCTTTTGATGTGAACTGCAAGGTCATGTCTACATTTTAAACTTACCATGTGTAGTTGTGGTGCCCTCAAGTACATTGCTTGCCCCCAGGCAGACTGCTGCCAAAACCAAAAGTTATGTAGCTACATCCAAAAGGCATTTAGGATGGGAAGCCTAATTAATACTGCTTGAGTGACAGTGTCATTTAGCCTGTCCCTGCTGATTCACTTACCCTCACTGCTGCATAGATACAGCTTCCAGGCTAGTGGATCAGCACACTATGCTTGCAGGTGCAAGTAAACAGAAATCAGGACAGTGTCATCAGAGGCACAGGTAGCATGTATATAATTAAAGTTGCTTGGTACTTACCATTATAATATCCTGTTCTGAACTGTTTGCATCTTTGTCAGATTTTAACCTGTTCTGGCTAAATTTGTTTCCATTTGGGTGTCTGTCTCAGGTGTATTTAAACATTTCAGTTAAGTATTTTAGACATTTCTAAGAATGAGATTGGGGGCAATAATTGTTTTACCTATGTTAAAATTTGTTACAAACATTTCCCTGAGAAACATTTCCACTTACAATGATCATGCTTCATCCCCACATAGCTACCACATTAACTGGACTGGCTTGAATATGCTCAAACCCAGGGAGCCATGTTTGGTTATCACAGCTAAGGTTATCACAGCCCTGGAAAGCTTGCAATTCAGTGAGCACCATCTCTCCTGTCTACAGAATGAAGCAGGGCCATATGGAAAAATATATTTAAGTAATATAAAGACTGCATCATAATGTATAAATACAAGGGGACCAAATTAAGATTACACAAACATTTTCAAACTTTTGGGGGTCTGACTGCAGCCTCTTAGTTCTAACAACATCGTTTTCTTGGTTTTAATGTATGTAATATATAAACATGCAGCAGATTTAGCAAGTACAAGCCACTATCAACTTGTAAGCAGTGCTTTAGGAACTCATAGCATCTTATAGATATCAATGGATGAAGCCTCCCAGCATCTCTCTGAAGTGGAGAAGTGTTGTTTCTATTGTGCTGATAACTTTTCTCTGCCTAAGATTAAGTGATTGCTATGTGTCCAAGGTTACACAAAATAACTGTACCAGAGGTGGAAACAGGCGTATGATCTCTATGTAATCATGTGCTTTAAATACTGTTTCACCCCACCAGTTGAAACATGTTTCAGGTTTATTTAATTAACTGCACAATTGTGGTCAGGCCACAAACAGATTTAAAGTGAAACTGAACAGTTTATAATGAAATGATGTAACTTAGGCATGTTATACCACATCTGAGACAGGAAAAGTGTTGTTGATCCCAGCACATTTATTTTAATCTCTTTTATTCCTTGATTGTCTACTGCAAACGAGTAAAATGAAAAATTCATAAAGCAGCAGCAACCAGAGACTTCAGAAAGCATTGCACAGTTTTGCTTTTTTATTTAACTTGGCATTTTCTATACTTTTGCCATCAGAAATTACATGTCTAACTTTTTGCCAAATTGTCAAATGTAACAACAGTTGGTTATTGTGAAGATGGAGAGGATCTGAATTTTGAAAAGAAGGAAATTAATGGTTCAGAAGCAGAGCCCTAAGACCCTAGCAAGTGAAGGCAGTTTGAAGTCAAGAGCTACATAAGCCATTACCTCTGATATCTGAATTTTCTATGGATCTTTTTTTTAAACAGGATCCTGTAAGTAGGTTTAGAAAAGTGATGGTTATTCTTACCAAGCAGCAGTTTCCAGCTGTGTTAGACATCACCATCGGGTTTGTGGGATTGGGATTCTATGCTGTTCCTACTCAGTTGTGCATGCTGCTCCTTCAGGGAGACTTGAGTCGTGCCAAACTCAATCTGGCCTGACTGGGAAGTAATGAGTTCAAATTTGTACAGCCAAGCTCTTATTCTTATTGATTGATCCAATTGCTTTGAAAAAGTTCAGAATCACTTCTTAAACACCTGACTGTTATATGTGTTTCTTTTATGATGCAGTGGGTATTATTCACTTCTTCATTTACTTATTAACAGTGTTGTGAAATTGTTTCCTTTCAGTCCTCCATGAAGTGGAGTGTCTTCTCTTGGAGCGACCAGGTCACATAGCCTTAAGCAACGACACAGTGTCCGTTAAATTTCAGTACCACAACAATGGTAATATGACAGCAAAGAATGTATTCATCCTATTGTTGGATGCCACTGACCAGACCATTGCGAAAAAACAGCTTCCAGCTCACCAGTCACAGGGGATGGTAGCATTTGAGTGTTTTCATTTCAAGAGTGCTGGGAATTATCGAGTCAAAATGACCTCTGAGACTGATAATGGATCTGATGTACGGTGGAGTGGAGGAACTGCACTCCTAAGTGTAGAGTGGCCTGTATTTCACATAGACTTGAACAGGACATCCAATGGGCCTGGGAGCTCCTTGCAGGTTGGACTCTTCACTAATGAACAGCTGTGTGCTATGAATGAGACAGCGTTTTTACTACAGGTGATATTCTCCAGCAACCTCTATGAACTGGGAAGATTGAGTACTGAGGCGGCACTGGGGATGAGAACTAGCAAAATAATCTTTCTTGCGAGGTCCCAGTGGGTGGAGTTTGATTGCCTACTTACTGGCCAAGAAGCATATGTCACTGTGTTACTGAAATCAGTAGAGACTGGTTTGGTTATCACCTCAACTGGACCTATAGACCTTGCCCACAAATTTGGATATCAACTGGTCATGGCACCAGAAGTGCTGTGCAAGTCTTCAGTTCAGGTGTTTGTAGTCTCCCCTCCGTGCACTTCTATCAGCGGGAAGATGGCTGTCTATAAGGATGCTCTCAGGCATCCTGGAGAGAGACCAACCTGGCTGGAAGAAAACATTCTGAATCCAGGGAACAACAGAACCGAATTTAACTGTACTTTGTTTGACATGGGAAAAAACAAATACTGTTTTGACTTTTTTAACCTTTCAAGCCGAAGCCACTTCTTTCCAAGAGTCACAGAATGTATGGTGATCCAGAGGAACATGGGTTTGTATTGATATTTTTCATCTTTAACTAGAAATGCTGCACTAGAAATGATGATAACTTGGACTGACAATGGTGCCATTTATGGAAGAAGGATTCACACATCTAGGAAGAGGGAGACCTGGGTTCTAGGTCCATCACTGTCTGAGTAGGTTCAGATGGTGAACGACCTTCCAGGAGACTTCCTGAACCACCATGGGCTATGCTGGGTGGAACCACTGCACATCCCTCCTGCCAAAGCTATGCCCTTCTGCAGAAAAGAATGGTTTGTTGCATTCAGAGAAAGGGAGCAGAACTGTTGGCGAGTAGTTAGAGCACTGCCCTGAGAGGAGGGGATTTCTGTGTCCTGGCCCCTGCTCCCAGGACTGCTTCTGCATTGTCCATTACATAAAATGTATGAGCAGCCACTGGAGCAGGGACCATAATTCAAGACTCTCCTCCTGTGGGAGGCCATTCTGCTAATCTGCACAGTCCTTTTTCTACTTGCTTGCTTACTCTGATCCCATGAATCTTGAATTAATTTCTGCACAGTCTCCCAGTTTATCAGGAGAGATGGGGTTACCCTGCCCAGAAGAGCCCATAGCCTGAAAATTAGGGTGTATTGGGCAATATGGGTTTGAACCTACTCAGCTGGAAGAGAGAACTGAATTGAGCCTTCCTCTCCCCACACTTCCCTGCCACAGTGGCTAGGGACAGACATTCAAAAAGCACGAGCCTGAATTGATTCAGTCTTTGCAGGTTAGTCTAACCTGACTAGGCTACATCAGTTTGCAACTAAACAGACATCCCAGACATGCTGGCACATGCCTGCAGTGGCTCAGGCTAGAAGCCGGGGGGCGCTAAAGCAGCCCTCCCTTCCCTTCCACAATGCTGAGCTGAGGGGAGGCATGGCCAGGCCCCAGCAGGACTCTGCTTAGGGATGTCTTCCTGCACCATCCCAGGCTTTTTCCTGCTGGCTGCTTAAGGGGCAGGAGTGTTGCCAGCCCCCAGCCCTGGGCTATCACTCTGAGGCAAGGAGGGTGTGCACTGTGTGCATCTGTTGATGATACAGAGCTTTCCAATCTCCCTCTCCATGCTTCTTTATACTGTCTACAGAAAACTGACAGGTGAGCAAGCCAGCAGGGAACTGTTTACCATCAACAAAATAGCCTCTCTCAGCTGCTCTTAAATAGCTTTTTCCAAAGACGGAAGGAGGGACCTTACCAGCTGACCTCTTGATTAGCTCCAAAAAGCCCTAAGTGGACACTGTCCTGTCTGCCTGTCCTAGTGAAATTGGAGACGTAGACACCTCTCAGCATTAGTTTGCATACCACATGCCTCGGATCCATGGGGCTGGAGCCTGTGCTATGGGAGCAGGGGATCGCTGCTTGAGCAGTGACGGGGGGTGGGGCAGGGGAAAGTCAGGCAGACCCTGCTGTATCTGCAGTCTCTGCCAGAGCTCTGGCCAGAGGGGAGGGGCCAGCTCTGCTGTGGAGCAGAGAGCCCTGCCCATCCCAGAGAGTATGTTGGGATGCTGGGGGAGTCTAGTTTATCTTAAACCAGCAAAGGGTCTGAGACAGACATTGCATAAACCAGTTTGAGCCAAATCAGTTAAGTCTGATACTACATTCAACCAGGTTTATCTCAAACCAGTTTCAGCCATTTTGAAACTGGTTTATGTGCCCTGAATGTCTGTTCTGTTACAGGTTTAAACCAGTTTCTGATCACTTAAACAAGTTTATGTGTAATGTCTGTCTCTAGCCAGTGAGTTCTCTAACCCTAGGTTTTTATATAAATAGTGGGCAAAATCACTCTCTGTATCTTTAAAAGGAATGAAGCATGAATCTGCTTAAAGTAGGAATGACGTGGGTGCCTAACTCCAGGAGAGGGTTCTGGACAGTGAATCCTGACCTGACAGTTTACTTTCCTGCAGCCCTGATTTAGGTGTCTAATCCCTAAGGAGGGACATGATTTCAAATGCCCCCACCTCTCCAGCATTTTCTGCTGACTAGCTGAGGGTCTTTTGTAGATCCTGTTCTGAGGCACCTAATTCTTTTTATGCCCTGTATAAGGAATTTAGGCATCTAATTCAGTGGGGGTTGATTCTGTTCTCCAGGCAGATAAAAATTAGCTAGGGCAGTACTCCATGGCATCATGCCTAAGTCTGTCTGTGGATCTAGCCCTAGGAGTTTTGATAATGCGAGCATGATAAAAATAGATGGATTCTCTTGCATGGGCAACTGGTGCCACCTTAGTCAGGGAGGACACATGCCCCCCCAGCAACCAGACAGCAACCGGGGGGGAGGGGTGCCCCGTGGCCGATCTCGCTGACCTGGGGTGGGGGGAGGAGTCCCCCTATTTCCATTCCCACTGACCGGGTGACTGGAGGGTGCCCCGTGGCCAATCCCACCGACCGAGGGGCGGGCCCCATGGCTGATTGGGGGATGGCCAGTCACTCTGACTGATTGCTGTGGCTGCTGCCAGGAGTGGCTGCAGTGCTCTGCACCCCAGCCAGTGCTTGCAGGGTGGGCACGGTTGCTCCTGCCTGCCCCCCGCCTATCACCTAAGTGGTGAGTGTGGCTGGTCTGGGGGTGTACTGGTGCTCTCAGGGGGTGCACATGCACCCCCTACACATCACCACTGTTCTCTTGTGTGTATAGTTTACAAGATTATTTGTCAGGATTATTTTTTCAGGTGCTCTGGTAGATGTGAGTGGCAGGCATGGTGGAAGCTGTGTGTGAGGATAGCAGACAATATTTGCTCTGTCCATCATGGAGGGAGAGATGAGCTAAGTGATTGTGTTTCTAAGCAGGTAGTGTGAACTAAAGACTGTCAGAGGGAGGTATTATTACAAAGACTGGGTCTGGGATAGGTCTGTATCAGAGAGGATTTGGATTTGATGGTACTACATTCTCATGATGATCTGACAAGTTTCTGAGAATAAGACTTTTCTAGCTGTGGACCAAACCTGAAACCATATCCATAGAGCAAATTCGAATCCACAGGTCTGAAAGCAACCTTCACTTCCCTACAAAGTTCAAAAAAGTTTGGATGACAAAGTATTATTTTGTCCTATTCCTAGTTGTAACAGTTTCTTGGAAGAGCTTTTCATTTCCTCTGTCTTCTCTTCCGTGCAGGAGTAGAATGACTGAAATTCTAGAGCTCTTCACAGATTCAGTCTGTCATCTCTGAAATTAAAACTTGCTTTATATTTTCAGTGTTTTCATAAGGTGTTTGTCGCACAAAGAAGTGCTATAATGACGGTGACTTGCATAGTGCTGTTATACAGTTTTATTGTGTTCCATTTTGTAGGTTTTAAACTTTTAACTCTTCAGTTATGAACTTATCTCCTAAAAACAAAAGCCCTCTAGCCTTACCACATTGCCAGATTCATCTTTTTTTCTCAATATTCTACCAAGACTCTCTTTACTATCTCTCTCTTTCTCTGTGACACAAAAAAGCTTAGTTAAAAATCCAAAATCCAAAGATCATTAGATTAATCAAGACATTCTCATATAGGTACTGGTCAGGCCACAGTTGGAGTACCGCGTCCAGTTCTAGGCGCCGCACTTCAGGAAGGGCATGGACAGCATTGAGAGGGTCCAGAGGAGGGTCACCCGCATGATCAGGGGGCAGCAGGGCAGGCCCTACGAGGAGAGGCTACGGGACCTGAACCTGTTCAGCCTTCACAAGAAAAGGCTGAGGGGGGATCTAGTGGCTGTTTACAAACTAGTCAGGGGGGACCAGCAGGCACTGAGGGAGTCCCTGTTCCCCTGAGCACTACCAGGAGTGACTAGAAATAATGGTCACAAGCTGGCAGAGGGTAGATTCAGACTAGACATCAGGAGGCACTACTTCACTGTCAGGGTGGCTAGGATCTGGAACCAACTTCCAAGAGAAATGGTGCTGGCTCCTACCCTGGGGGTCTTTAAGAGGAGGCTGGATGAACACCTTGCCGGGGTCGAAACACGTCGCGCGGGTTGTCTGACCCCAGCACTCTTTCCTGCCATGGCAGGGGGTCGGACTTGATGATCTTTCAAGGTCCCTTCCAACCCTACAGACTATGAAACTAGGTAGAAAAGGAAAAAAAATATTATTTCATTTTCTATGTATGAGATTTTGGATAATAGTTTTGTGGTCCATATAACTGATATGGACAAACAGTTGCCTATAGTATGACATATCAGTAGATATGTTCCACTACCCAACATTTGAATGGCTTAGCTGTGTCTTCTTACCATTTGCTTTCTTTCTTTTGCTTTCACTGGAGTACTGTATTTCTAAAGCCTGAGGGTACACATGAGAAGAAAGGATGTATCTCAGTGAGTGACAAGTTAGAAGTGTTAAAACTACAAAGCAGATGTGAAAGTAAAATGGCACAAAATAACTGAACTAAAAAGTCAACCTCAAATTAATTAGATCACAGAAAACCTGACTCTTTGCGCATAAGACTTCAGAGCCCCACAGCTGCACTCTAAATGCACAAGGTATTCTGGGAGAGCTGCATCAGTCTGAAGACCGTACAAGTAAGGGAACCCTTTATTGCCTGGAGTGATTGTCCAGTAGGGCTGTGCGAAGCTTTAGGTGCCGATTCGATTCAAAGTAGATTTGGCCCGATTCGGTGGCCAGATCTGAATCAAATCAGGAGACCAATTAAAAGGTCCGAACTGATTTGGAAAAGATTCGGAGCACTTTGGAGATTCGGGCAGTCTCTGCTCTCTGCCACAGGGAGCTGGACCCGGACTCCATGCTGGTAAGTAGTGGGCGGGGAAGGGGAGGAGGGGGGAGGGGGGACCCCTGCTAGGCCCCATCCCCTGCCTGCTCCCCTGCCTGCTCTCCCAGCCCCCCCACCATGGCTGCCCCACCTGCCCCAGCTCCCCGCTCCTTTAAAAAAAAAAAACGCCCGCTCTTTAAAAATAAAAAAAAAATCCCCCACTCACCAGCTGCTGCTGCAGCCATCAAGGCTTCTGGGGGCTCATGGCATAGCTCCTCACACAGTGCGGGGCAGTGGGGGGCAGTGGGGA